CATTTTTACTGCAACTACTGCAAGCGTAAACAAAAACATGGAAATTATTTTTCTTTTCAGTTTGTACATTTCAAATTCCAACATCAACTTACAAATAAGTATAGGAATTAAAATTATAAATACCTACAATGTAAAATGAAAATAGAATGTCAATCATGCCAATCCGTATATTAAAAATTAGGTCGGAATGGTTCGATACGGTTCACAGCGAGCGCACTGCAAACAACTAATACTGAAATACTGAAAAGTACGATCGATACGTTGGACGGCCAGCAGAGCTTGGCTGCACCCAAGGTATGACGCGTATAAGCGAAAATTTAAACTTGAAGCGGGGAATCTGTAGGCGATGCCTGTGGCGATGCGTCGAGACAAGAAATCACCGATCGGCCGGCCGTCTGCATCAGTGTAATGAGCTACGCGAGCGGTTCAACTGAAAGCGGCGTTTTGACGATGGGATTACCAGATGTCGTAGGTCCTGAATTAGTTCGTGATTTTCGGTGTATATGCGGATGGCATACTCAAAGGTTCCATGAATGAAATTCAAATAACAGGCAACAAAAAATTATGAAATTAAAAAATTACCATGACAATGTTGAATATTTTTTTCTTTTTGTCGCTGAATGAAGTCAGGGAAAAATAAAAACCAAATTTCATTTTTTCGCATTATCCTGATGTATATCTCCTCAAATAGGCGGATTTTTTTGTCTTGTCGGTATTCTGATTGCGTAACTTTGCCAGTAACAGTATCTAAGATATTCATGCATATATATAATATAATTTGAAACAGCCTGTATATACTTATCGATAACACACTTGTTGATAATCGATAACTGAAATCCAATATCGGGCAGCCCTTATGACAATGTAGGTAAGGTACCTACCTATACCTATACTTTTATTTACTCGTTTGAATTCTGACACTTCACTTTCTCAACAAAGTCACATATCCCACCTGTGAGAACAATTTTTGGTTTTTTGCATCAAACTAAAAGCTTACGGCTTTTTCCTTCAACTTTTTTCATAGGTAGCACCCATTATGAAGTAGCGAATGGGAAAGGTCAAAATAGCGAGTGACTATATTCTTGTATAGGTACATACAATTGGGGTAAAATAATTGATCCTGTGGTTTAGCAATAGAGTCACCTTTATATGTATATGTGTATTGTTCATTCTACTTTTTTTGTTTATCGATAGAATGTTTATTTTACTTACCGCGCATATATTATATTATGTTCATACCATCCACGTACAGGACTTCATCCCTTTGTGGATACCTATTTATTCACTTGTTATTTATGTATATACCCTTGTTACCCATTGTGTATTTTCTTTACTTAGGTGAATAAATTATTAGTATTATTATTATTATGAAATTTGAAATTATTCAAATTCCAGTCACGACTCTGGGGCCTCCAACGCAGAGTCGAGCTTTAGGGTGACCAGTGACCACTCCACACATCCGTTATTATTATTATTATTATTATTATTATTATTATTATTTGAGTTTATATGATTCCAGTCACGACCCTGCGGCCTCCGACGTCACGCAGAGTCGTGCTGGACAAAATCCAGTGACTACTCCTCACAGCCTGTGAGGTGAGTAATCACTGGGACCAAGTACCGTGTGCCCTGAGTAGACGCAATGATCCTAGTATGACGGCCTTCTGCATTCCACCAGCCAGGATGTGTGCCTTATCACGGCACGCTGGGATTTTCTGGATCTCCGATCTTATTATTATTATTATTATTATTATTATTATAATTATTATTATTATTATTATTAGTACCTCTCTACCTACAGCGATTTTGTCACAAGAACACGTGTTGGCGGCTTGGTTTCGAACAAAGAATATGTCATACACCCGACGAGTAGAGATGAAAATAAATACCTATTAGGTAGGTAGGTATAATACCTAAATAATACTACATTTCAATCTCTTCAAATGCCTTACACAAATTTGGTGTTGTGTTTAGTATACATGTAATAGTCAGAAAATGTACAACCATGGTTTATACAATATACTAACATCCTGGAAGCCGATATCGAATAAAGTAATTCAGAATGTTTTTTTTTGGAAAGGAGTATTCTCAGATATATTATGAACATGAAGAAAATATAAAACTTATCAAGAAAAATATTGAGAATTTGCATTCTCTATCTAGTGAAAATATGAATTCTTTATCGGTAGGTATATTCAACAGAAAACAACTACTTTCCCGGCTAATGCCAACGATGAACATTGAATTACATCTATTGAACACACACGAAAAAATAATTTGAAAATTAAAATCTTCTGAAATTGAGAATTTCCATTCTCTTTCTAAAAACCTCTAATCACAGATTCGTGATTGGGTTTTATATATGATGAACATCAGTTCATCGTATAAATGAAAAATAATTCAGAATGAGTTTATAGCCAATACAAAATAAATATGCGAATAGGTATAGGTGCAATCCTTTTGTTTCTTCGCATTCGATCGGAGCCGCTGATCGTACGGTCGGTTCTGCCTTCTGCAATGTCTATACAGGGTGTGTCATTATTGTTGGATGAAACTTCAAGATCAGATTTTATGGGCCAAAATATGAACAAAGTTCGTATGAATATAATTTCTGGAAATGATTCGTTCCGAGATAGGTACCTACAGGGTGTACAATTTTTTTCTGAACTTCAACCGATTTCATTTACGATAAGTGGGTTCTTGTTTTGCCATAATTATCCGATTGATTTCTAGAGTATTTTTCTCTCTCAACAGCCATGCATAGGTTTGGTTTCCATTTTTTTCCTCGAGAATTAAGCTAGTATAACTCTATTTATATTTCGACTCAACAAATCTGACCTCGAAATTTCGTGCAACAATAATGAACACCCTGTATAAGCAGCGACAGGACAAAAAAAAAATCTCCGACCCCAAAACCCTCCACATATATACATAACAATTTTGAATAGAATTGGACCATAATCACAAAACTTGTCCGCCACTTATTTGGAGCCGCCATGTTGAATTTTCGAACTTTGACAAAAAATTATAATCTCCGATTCCGAAAACCCCCAAAAACAAATTTTGAATAGTCATAATCACAAAACTGTTCCGCCATTTTTGAGCCGCCATGTTGAATTTTTAAATTTTGACAAAAAATCATAGGTAATCTCCGACTCCGAAAACCACTCTGCTCCGCCATTTTGGAGCAGTCATGTTGAATTTTTGAATTTTGACAATAAAATATAATCTCCGACTGCGAAAACAATCAGATACCGAATAGAATGGTCCCATTATCAAAAAAAACTCTTCCGCCATTTTTGAGCCGCCATGTTGAATTTTTGAATTTTGACAAAAAATCATAATCTCTGACTCCGAAAACACCAAGATACCGAATAGAATGGGCCCATTACCAAAAAACTCTTCCGCCATTTTTGAGCCGACATGTTGAATTTTTGAATTTTGACAAAAAATCATAATTTCTGACTCCGAAAACACCAAGATACCGAATAGAATGGGCCCATTACCAAAAAAACTCTTCCGCCATTTTTCAGCCGCCATGTTGAATTTTTGAATTTTGACAAAACATCATAATCTCCGACCCCGAAAACCCACAAATACAAATTTTGAATAGAATCGTACCATAATCACAAAACTATTCCGCCATGTTGAATTTTTTTATATTGACAGAAAATCATAATCTCCGAATCCGAAAAGCCTATATAGATACGTAGATACCTACAAATTTTTGATAGAATCGGACCATAATCACAATAAACTCGTCCGCCATTTTGGAGCCGTCATGTTGAATTTTCTAATTTTGACAAGAGAATCATAATCTCTGACTCCGTAAACCACCAGATACCAATTTTGAATACAATCGGTCCATAATCACAAAACTCGTACCTACACTATTTTGCCACCATTTTGATTTTTTCCATTTTTGACAAAAGAATCATGATCTCCGACCCCGAAAACCCCCAGATACCTACTAATTTTTAATCGAATCAGATCATAAGCACAAAACCAGTCCGCCATGGAGCCGCCATCTTGAATTTTTCAATTTTGACAAGAGAATCATAATCTCCGACCCCGAAAACCTAATTATTTCATAATGCATTGTCACCAAAATCATGTCCACCTGCCAAGTTTTTAATCAATCGGACGATCAGAAAGTGCGTCAAATTTAACTTGCAAGATTTGATGATGCTTGTAAAAAAAGACCACATGTAACATTTTTGCTTTGAATGAAATGCTTGATATTGATATCACTTGATACCTATTGAGTTTCCAACTATTCTCGTAGATAACAATTCAGTGCGAAATTCCCGCGTTCTGCCAAAGCCCTCATGATTTATCTCTGACAATGATAATCGTGACGGCTCGGTTCTGGTTCTACCATCCCCTACTCTTTGGTTCTACGCTTCGCGATGTAAACATAAACATAGTAAACAAAGTCAGGTCAGCCATTATCTGGATCGAGATCGAGACCTATAAATACTACATATTTTGCGCGGACGGTAAGAGCAAGCACACATCCAGAATTTCACTCCATATTTGAACCCAAGAATATAAACTATATTCATATTTGAACCCAAGAATATAAACTGTGTTATTTTTATATTCTATGATTGATCGATCAATTCTATTCCGATTCGATGCTAGTATTCCGACACCTATGGAGGACTTGCCCGAACTGACTAGAAAGAAGGAAACTACGAATACGTACTAGGGGTATATCGTGGCGCACTACCGTCTTGAAAATTCTCATATTTTAGTGCAAACGGCCATCTCACCGCCATCTAGACAAAAGTTTCAGAAGTAGGCAGTGAAACGGCGATCTTAAGGTTTGTTCGGCGTTCTCACGAAACTTTACAACATCTACACTCATTGTAGATATTGAGACGTTCTGTGTCTCAGGAAATCGAGTTTTCTACAGAAAGTGTAGATGTTGTAGCGTCATGTATAAGCAGGGAACAGACCTTAAATTAATTAATCGGATGATATTGTTTTCATTACAGGTGGAGTAGCAGAATATCGATCTTCCGAAGGAAAAACGGTGGAGGTGCCGTACAGAGGCGACGTGGAGATGACTGTGCTGGATATTTTGGGGGGGCTGCGTAGCGCCTGCACTTATACAGGGGCGTCGAAATTGAAGGAACTGCCGCGTCGCGCCACGTTCGTTCGGTGTACTCAACAGTTGAACACGATTTACACTTGAGCGATCTCTGTACGAGTATTTTAGCACAATTGGCCGTTTGGAATTCAGTATTGCACAAAACGAAAAATGTTAGGCTTTTCTCAAGAAGCCAAAGTTGATCGCAAGGAAATTTCTAGTGTTTCAAGGGGAATCGATTTATTGAAACAAAAAGGTGATATATGCCAATTTGAATTTCCATATAGAAATTCATATGTTTACTTATGATCACTATAGAAAATAGGCAAGAATACACGATATACAGTCTCAGAAAGTAGTTCATTACGCACGGTAAGTAAAACGCACAGTTTCGATGTGCTATATTTCAGGTAATAGTAAACCTGCTTTCAAAGTTTGGCCGCTGAGGGCTGTATGGATGGAAAATGAAAAATAGTTATCAATTTAACAATAACAATAATTCAATTCCCTGCAAGAAACTGGTTTCTCAAGCGAATTACTCTGGTTACCTTGAGATATTACCTACTATTTTTTCGTATTATTTTGTGATTCATTAGATAGGTACATACACCTAATTTTTGTAAATAGCAAATTATGAAAGCAGCGTCCAAACAGCAGCTTGCACAGTACCTATATCGAATGATCGAATCAAATGAAATTTTGAGTTTCATGATAGAGCAGTATTGATAAAGTATTAAATATTAGGTAAATATATTTCGTGTTGAATAAAGAGATTCATTTTAACTAATACACTCAATTGTGCATTCTGGTGTAGGTAACATTACTTACCTACTTCCTGGTTTTTTAAATTATGGTATTATCGTAGTGGCCCTTGGAATATTCTCTCGAGAAGAATGACGCCAGTAGGTATGATTGTCAGATTGATGAAATAAACCTCAGGTGTACGCACTTCAATCCTTTCCTCTTTTACAATTCCTTGATTTTCGCTTACTTCGATAAACATAACATGGCGTAGTGGGTGAATCTCGCTAAGTTTAGTCTGGTGCCGTAACAAAATTACAGGCATCAAAGTGACAATTGTGACCGAATTGTGACCAATGAAGATAGGGAATACATTTTGCGATTTAGCCGCATCAAGGTTGGTAGAACTGATGTTGGAATCACGCCATCTAACATTCAATATGTGAACCCCACGTCATCGTCTGAAATTCAATTGTTTTATAGTCTCGATATGGTAACGGTCTGACGAAACAAATGAAGAGTGAGCGCACCAGACGTTTATTTCATCAATATTGTCAGATAGGCATATAAAATACGATCCTTCAAGAGTGAAAGACGACAAATGAAGAGAACATACCAACGGTCACTACAATCTTATTGATGTACCAATATTATTTTGAACCATTTCCGGCGTTCAATAATTTGTTCATCATTTTATTTCTATACCTATCTATTTATTCGTGAATCATCGAGGAGGTGAGTGCCTACCTCTGGAAAAATATCTCATTTTTAATTCAATTCCTTCACTATACTAATTATTTAGCCACAGGCCACAGGTGACCAAAGATTTTCCTCATTTGTAATGTCAACGTTTTGTGTCGTGATTTGACATTCTTTTTGGCTTTCAACGGATGTTTATAAACTGTCAATATCGCTTCGAACGTAAGTATTTCGCTACTATATAGTATATAGTCACAACATCAATTCATTATATACAAACAAAAGCACACAGTTCATAAACACCCCATATTCTAGTTGAATATTTTTATTTATTTGTGATCATGATTTATTATTATTATATAGTCGTTTTCGAAAATTAAACAAATACACTCAAAACATATTCTTGTTATTTCACTACAATATACCCAATACACATCCAATGTATTCACAGTTGTTAGGATTCTGTTCCTTCGTCTCTATATATATATATTGAAATATTAGATATTCCTATTTCAGCATAAATGTAGTGAGGACAAACCATGTCATTTGCCCCAAAATGTTTGAAAAAATGCCATTTTCATACTCGCATTTCGAAAGTGAATATCGTGTTCTATCCATATATCAACTGAATAGGAAGCATTATGTTATTGTCTTATTCTGAATATCATTCCACTCCACCATATATGGATGTAGATTTTCAGTTATCTAACCTTTTGGTTGGTTCATGTCTTTTTTTATATTGTTTATGTTCTTTCGTCCATACTGAGAGGAGTCTGCGCTTTGTTTCACCTGTATATTTAATATATACACTTTCCACAAGCACAGGGTCATTGCATATACAATACATGATGATTTTTTTTCATTTAGATACTTTGGTTTTTCGTACCAGAATACAGCTAAAAACCAAATGGAAAATGTAACATTTAACTGTAAGTATATTTCTTCGCTTGGCGAAAATTTTTGAGTATATAATATATAATGCAAAAAGAGGGGCTTCCAAACATGTACTTTTTGCTGCCACTATTAATATTTGAAAAATTATTTCTCAAGTTATACAGGCTCTCCCTGAGAGGTCTGTGAAAATCTTAGCACATAGTCCAGAGTTCAAAATAAGCCGATTTAATGCAACTTACCTCAGTTCGAAATTGCTCCATTTCCGAGATACAGGGTGATAAATTTGAAAAATAAAAATCGGCAAGCAACGTACCTAGAACGTATTTTACTGAACCATTTTTGCACTGCTAATTCATTGACCAAATTATACATCCAGGAAGATTACAGCAAACATTTTTTATTCAAAGAGGCATCGAACACTAAAAACGAAATTAGTCGAAAACGGCTCAATTTAGTGAATGTTCACAAGAGCATCTGCTAAAAATATTCAGGAAAATATATCCTCAACAAAAAGTGAAAAACTACACTGAGAAAAATGTTATGGCGATCTCAAACCATAAGAAGTGCATTAGTAAGCAACCTCTCATGGACACAGTGAAAGGGTGTTCGTATTCGGGTTTCGCATCCCAAAAAGCCCTTGGCTACCAATTTTTGAAGGCATACTTCTGAAAATGTTGATACAGTGTAAAAAATACGATTTTCATTTTTTAACTTCACCACCCTGTATTTTAGAAATGGAGCAATTTCGAACTGAGGTAAGTCTCTTCAAATCAGCTTATTTTGACCTCAGGTATATGTAGTGAGATTATGTACAGACCTTCATAAACCCTTTACTTTATTAACACATCCTATGGAAAAAAATCTGTGATGATACTCGAGCAAAGAAAAAATAGGTTGAAACCTTCAAGACGTCAGTATAACCAAGAGGCGATGAGAGCAAATATCTTGCAAACCAAACAGAATACCGAAATCAATCAAGGTGGCCAGATCGCTATCGGGCCAAAACGTATAGGTATTCGCGATAGATTCACGAAGTGGGCGACATCTAGATTACATAATACGAACTTCAAACTGGGGGAAAACAAACTATTGTCTATGGATAAAGTGCATAGATTACATTGCATACATCTTACTGTAGCTGTAGTTGTCAAACTTGTCAATGACATAAAGTGTTATCACGTCTATGGTTATCACTCTGATCAGTACACAGTACACAATAAGCTAATGGCACTAATAGGATTGAGTGAGGATTGAGTTTGTTTTCCCCCACGTGGCTTTGACAGGGAACGATGAAAAACGAGCGCCACCTGATGGTAACATTGATTCCCGCGAATATTTTACTTTATTAAATCTATAATATCTCAAATTCATATCTATCAAGAATATTGATATATTAACGATTTAAGTAAAAAAAATTAAACAAACTCTTTCTAGATCTCAATATCCAACAGTTTTGGAGCGTAACTTCAAAGACAATATTTCATCAAGTTGAATCATAAAAAGTTGATCACCATGTATATCTCAAAGTCAATTTGGGACACATTTATTATAAATTCTATGAAACCTTCTTATAGTTATTCCCATAAAATTACCCTAGCCCTAGGCACCCGCCTGGGTCCCAGAATTAGTATTCTGTGCCTGGGTATAATGTGTATCATAATATACAGGGTGGCCCACGGTCGATGGTACCTTAGACGTATACGGAAAACGGTACATTGGATTATTCTGAAAATTTGGTTACTCTAATGAGCGTTTGTGATCTAACGATTCAAAATATTTTCAGCGAAGCAGCGTTTCCACTTTTACCAAAAAGTAGCATCATCTTTGTTATTTCAAATGGAACACCCTGTATTTTACTGCGTTTTCAGATTCTTCTCGAAGAGCTGATTTCATCCATGCATCACATTTGGGGTCTAGCAGGAATTATTACAGAGATATAGGGTGTTCAAAATCGAGATTTTTCAACTTTAGGATTTTTTTGTGTCGAAACTATTCATCATTGGTCAAAACGGCTTGCATGTCCCTATATTAACTTTTGATTAACTATCTACCGACATTCAATTGGAAAAAATACAGGATGGTCCAAGATTCAGAATTTTGATCACCCTGCATCTGTTTCAATTAAATGTCAGTAGATAGTGAATCAAAAGTTAAGATAGGGACATGTAAGCCGTTTTGATCGATAATGAATAGTTTCGACACAAAAAGTTCCTGAAATTGAAAAATCTCGATTTTGAACACCCTATATCTCTGTAATAATTCCTGCTAGACCCCAAGTGTGAAACATTGATGAAATCAGCTCTTCGAGAAGAATCTAAAAACGCAATGAAATACAGGGTGTTCCATTTGAAATAACAAAGATGATGCTACTTTTTGGTAAAAGTGGCAACGCTGCACCGCTGAAAATATTTTGAATCGTTAGATCACAAACGCTTATTAGTGTAACCAAATTTTCAGGATAATCCAATGTACCGTTTTCCGTATACGTCTAAGGTACCATCGACCGTGGGCCACCCTGTATATGTATGTTATGTCATTACCTCATCATTCTTTATCGTCGATAAGATTGGATACCATTAAAGTTGTTGATTAAATATAATATGCTCCCATCTTCAACCAACAATAAATTGATAACAACACCCTCAACCCTCATGAACAATTTTTTATCACTAGTTTCGTTCGGAAGGATTTTACTATACCTACTGAATGACGGATACATTAAAAAAGTCAATGGTATTATACTGCGGGTGGCTTGAAGGCGGGTGGAATTT